TAGATGACTACTACATATATAATAAAGAAGAAAAAGGTGAATTATTGTACATTTACTTTCATACATTTTGGATAAACATTCATTCAACCGTATTTCCCAAAAGTTATCCAGCGTGCTTAATGCATCACACGATGCAGTCCGATTTCGAAACTGAGTTTGAAGATCTTCCCTGCATACACTTTTTCGGTCATATGCAATTTTCTGAGGAGGCGCATCACATCTACGAAAAAGTTCAAGTAAACTTCTTAAGGAACTAATACTGGATTTGTTCTAGTTTCTCCACATTTTAATTTAAGGTTATTGAAAAGATTACTGGATGCGTAACGATATATCGATCCAATCTGGTACATGCAAATTTTCCCCAACTCAAAGAAATTGTTCACGATGAAAATTTCTGTGGTCCTTTCACATGTTTCTAGAGGTTTTCGAAATATCAATAGCATGTATTCCAGACTTGGACTATGCTCTAAGAATTATAGGAAACCAAAAACTCAAATCGATCACATTTCATAAGGATTTCAGTATACAATCAGATGTAAGATTTCATAAGATACTCTAGTTTTTTTAATGTATATTTTGCAGAAAGTTTTTATAAGTGTAAATCCTCTTTTGGAACATAATGGGACTTCAGTGAATGACACGATTTTTGACTTTTCACCAACGGACGGAGGTACAACTTGATTGTCAAATTTTGCTCAGGATATAATGTCAGGTTGACGTGAAATTCTTATGTTTATAGGAGTAAACACTAGATGCAGCTTGAACGCCAAATTCAAATCTTTATTTTATATCTGCAAAAGATTTCCTAGAAAAAAATCAGGAAATTTTTCCTTACTTAGTCTTTCTAACGAAATTAGCCCCACATATTGTTGTTTTTCAACTGAAAAAGAATTGTTCAATCTTGCCTGCATAAAATTGACCATCTAGTCAGAGATAGGAGGGAATTCCTAAAAAGGTTCAAATACAATGTATGATACTGTACACAAATTTTTTTTTGTATCTGCCTTTTCTCCTGACCATGTTATACTCACAGAATTGACTATAATCAAGAAGAGGA